GGAGTACCTCTTCGCATAGATGAAAACGAAGTGTCAATATAGCCTTTAAAGATAGAAAAGGAAAGAGAAAGAGAATATACCAAGAAAAGACAGAAATTATAAATGTTTTTGCGCATACTGGTTTCGGGGCTAAGATAGACCAGATATGCAACCTTCCTTGGTGCCCCCGTGTCGAAACACTTTCATCAGTAGTTCCCAAGGAAGTGTCCAAAACATAACTTATGTGAAGGCATAAGAGATATGATGAAATGTAGTAAAGAGAGATGAAACATAGTAAAGAGATATTGAAGCAAACATGTCTTACTGTTATCAGATGTACTTTCGAAGATTCATTCTATTTGAAAGAATTATTTCCCGCCATTATAATCTTAATTGGTAATGGGCCACGCATTCCGCACCTCATGCACAAGAGGCAAATGCACACTAGTACTAAATCCATATTTACGTAAAATAAAAGGTCTATTTTGAAAGATAAGATATAATGCTCTAATAAAATTATTTCTTTCCCAACCATTTCTTGCTGAAGTCATTCCTACTTCAAAAATTCTGTTTTTGAAATCCAGAAAATCAGAGCAGTTTCTATAGATTCTAACTATTTCGGATGCAAGTGTATTGAATATGATAGATCTTGGTATATTGGACGTCCAATTTGGATATCTAGTAACGTTGAAGTTATAATTATCGGTTTTATTATACATAGAAAACTTAATGCTACTTTCTCTAAGGGAAATAGTAAGATCCAAAAAATTCGTTTGTAAGTCTTTGCAAGCTGTTGGTTCGATTTCTAAAGAAGGATGATATATTTCTTTGAGTTTATTCGTAAACAAAGATACGTCGTAGGACATATGTAGTATGTCATCAATGTACCTAAATGTGTATTTATATACGAATATGTTACTGTTTCTACCCGTCATTTGTTTTCTGATAAAAGAATATTCCATGTATGCTAAAGTAAGATCTGCTATTTGTGGACTACAGGACGCCCCTTGTGGTATTCCCCTAACTTGCTTGTACACCTTTCCTGCAAAATATACATAGCTATATTCAATAATACATCTAACATGTATAATATGTCCTCTACTTGGTAATATTTACCTTTACCTTTCGTTTCATTGGAGTATTCAACTTTGCCGTTGTAAAGCTTGACGAACTTATATCCTTTCATACATAATAGAATAAGTTTTTTGAGGCTGGTCCTTACGACATTATGAGGTAGATTAGTGAATAGACTCGAAAAATCCGCCGAATAGATTTCCAAATGACTAGTGTTACTAGTAAGTTCCTGTATGACTTGTCTACTGTTATCAATCGCCCAAAAGTGTTTAACGTTGGTTCTTAGCTTAATGACATTACAGTAATTACGAAAATGTTTACGAAAGTGAGATAGTATTATCTGTAGGATATTTGTCAATGGTTTCAAAATACTTCTTTCGCTCCAGTTATAAATCTAAACTTGATAGGATCTTTATGCATTTTAGGAATTCCATATATTTGGTATTTCTATGTAATCATGTCTGTTTTTAATGCCCAACCCGTTCAATTTGTTACATTGTATCCTCTTTACTTCTTCTAAATCAAATGGTGTTTGTACGTACGTATTTTCACCCGCTCCTATTCTTTCCATTTCTTGTTTTAGCATATGCATGTAAAGTTTCTTGCATATTACACAAAAATTAGAACTGGCTTTGTCTACAGGGGTAATAACAAAGTGTTTATGAATAGAAGATAAACTACTATAGTTATAGTCATCTCCTTCTATTAATTATTGTATAATGAAAATAATTTCGGTTTGAGGCGCTTTTTAACATATCTTCCGACCTCTAACAAGAGTGTGTTAGCAGTCGTAGTATTAGCTTTTGTTAGATTGACTATTTCCGCAACTATATTACTTACTAACTCATCTACTACTAAATTAACGTCATTTTTTGAAATTCTATAATGAAGTCTATACTTAGTACCTTTTCTAAGTAATTTTTTGAGCTTAGTATCTTCTATTATGTCAAGATTACCCGTACATATGTGCTTCAGATTACTATCAATAAATGCTGGGTACCTGTCACACACGCATGGATTATTTTCTAGGTCTCTTACGCTGTTAGTATCTAATTTTTTCAAAAAGCTATTATAATTGCATATTTGTACTCCTATAGGTTTATCCAATTTATACCTAATAACAAACTGGGCTTTATCAACTACATCTGTTCCTTGTGTATGTTGGATTAGGATTCGCTTGACCGCGTTACAATTGCATATTCTACGAAGATTCAGTTTTTCTATAATCTCACCTAGATAAGGTATAGTAATGGCCAGCTGTATACTATTCTTTCTTTCTTTAATGTCTCTATTCCAAAAAGGATGCGCTAGAAGGGCTAGTATTTTATATTTGTGCTCAAATTGCAAGTTTTGGAATGTGGAGGCAAACGTGTAGTCAATCAATCTTTGGATATCGTATTTATTTAGAGTTCTGAAAAAGGTATAAAGCGCGTTACTATTGAGCTCATTTATTCTGGTAACAATATATTCAGTTTTATCTATACATAGTCTTTTCTTCCTAGACCTCCTTTTCTTCCCTCTATATCCTCTATTTTGTATTGGGCATGTGAAAAAAGGGTGTTCTTTCTTTTCCAGTGGGTTAATGGAAAAGAAAAAAAATCAGAAATGTTTCCAAATCCTTTTATCTGGTCATTAAAACCAAAAGGAAATGCCGTCATTAGATATTTGATCCATTGTAGTTCTTTTTTTCTTAAGCATTGTTTGACATCATCCCGTTCACTAGAAAAATCCAGAATGTCTATAGTGAAGTTATTGGGATCATATAAGGTTTTTCTATAATGCTCTACCATGAACGTGTTTAGATTCAGTTTACTAAAACTTCTCTTATGTTGATTAATTCTTGCCCTTAATCTTTGCTTATTTTCGCCGACGTATTGCAAGTTACATGTCCCACATGTTAACAGGTACACAACATTCATTGAATCGCAATTAGCGGTGCTTGGTTTACTAGTTTTGAAAGAATAATTTGTGGTTGTGCTAGTTACATAATTAGCAAATCGTATTTTGTCACATATGTTACATCGATTTCTTTTACATTTATTACCCCTACTTTCATTACTATTAAGAATATTGTCTAGTCTCAGATGGTCGCCTCCACCTATATATGTTGACGTGGACGACATATAACAAACATTATTAGTGGTATTTTGATTGTTAGCAGACCTATATCCATTGAATCCGAGGCGGTCTGTCCAAGACTCTTATGCAGTTTCCTTTTGGAAGAGTATTTTTCTTCCAGGGCTAGGACCAGCCTCTTCATCGCTGGGGAGCGTTACCGGTGGTGTAAACCGCATCGGATGCTGAGCCCAACACCACGCCAGGGTTCTCCCGAATTTGCTCATGTAAATTCAAAAAGGTATTGAGTAAAAGCACAGCGATAACTATATTGTTTCTAAGCTATATATCGCGCATGTGTACTTTATTATTTTGCTAAAGTAATGGGCGGTATAAAAGGTTCAAGTTAATAGTTGAATTATTTCAATGATACTTCTTAACACTTCTAACTCTTGATGCTAGAAGTACCCTTATCTATTGTTATTTAAAATCTGTAAATGTGTTTATCTATGTATGTATGTTGTGTGTGTGTGTTGTGTGTGTGTGTTGAATGTTAGACTATGTCTCTAGTATGTACAGTAATTACTTTACAACTACAACAATTCCTAGGAATAGGAAGTGCTTATGTACTTAGCAGCTTAGTATATTAGAGTGAAATATTTACTGCGCCCAACGCTAATGCCATATGAATTGCTGTGAAATAAGGAGTATGAGGCGTGCAATGTTATGCGTAAAGTACAGAGCTATATCTAGATTTCAACTTTGGATAGTTCTAGGCACTAAAAAAATGCTAATATTTTTTTGAATAATTGAAAATTATATACATTATTCGGCCAGGTGTGCCACCAAATAGACCTTATGTCTCCTCCGACTCTTAATGTCAGAGGGGTGGACTCATGACGTAAGTACTAGTATCCCAAACTCTGAAGTGAGACTAGTCTAACAAATGTATGCATATGTTTCGCACTGTGAATGTTTTAGTGACTAAAGTAAGGTCTAAAATAAATATAGATGTGTAACAAGTTATATGCTGTGGATATAATGGCTATGAATTAATGAAACACGGACTACTTATAAATAAGTGTGTTGTCAATTAGACCCTATGTTAATTAGGTAGTCAATGTTGATAATTACGTAGTAGTTGGTCAATTCACCACCTGAAGACCTTATGTCTCCTCCGACTCTTAATGTCAGAGGGGTGGTTACATGACCTGCCACTAAATAACCCAGAAATGAATTATTGGCAGTCTAGGGCCCGTATGCACGTACATCCCCGCTGGGGAGGGGAGGGGATCTGAGAGGGGATGCGTCATATCTCGCTACTTTACGTATCTTTCTTCTTCCTTTTCTATCTTGCTTATGAAGGTTCCCATACCCTACTACCTGCGCATAATCGATGCCAGGTTACTGGCATAACTGATTAGATTTGTACTATTTTGTGTGATCCCCTGGGGATCCCCAGGGGATCACACAAAACAGTACAAATCTAATCAGTTATGCAAGTAACCTGGCATCAATTATGCGCAGGTAGTAGGGTATGAGAACCTTCATAAGCAAGATAGAAAAGGAAGAAGAAAGATACGTAAAGTAGCGAGATATGGCGCATCCCCTCTCAGATCCCCTCCCCTCCCCAGCGGGGATGTACGTGCATACGGGCCTAGATCTGAGACTAGTGCAACATTCCTATTCCACAGATGTTAACTATGTGCATTATCCCCAAGTCACGAGATGCCCGACGTGGACCACAACCAACTTTGTTCCACAACCTTTGTTCCACCACCACCCAGTCATAGATCATAAGGCGGTTTAGTTCAAGAATAGTGGCGCGAGAATGTGCTATAAATAGGCGTATAGTCATTGTAAATTATCTAAATTCATTGTATTCTACTACTATGCTTGGCATTACCAGTGTGGCCGCAACACTACGTTCTATCCTGCCTCCCAACGGCAACATTAGCAATGAGCTTTCTACGGCGCTAATGTCGTTAGGGTCGTCTATCGACCATCTCCGCAATAAACAGGAAGCCATGGCAAAGGACCTGGAGTTGGTTAGAAAACTCGCTCGTTCTAATTGGCTACTAGTAAGCTCTCAATTTACACGTAATTTTGATACTAATGTTGACTTTACAGATCATAAATCTTCCGTTGCCATTCGGCGTGAGCAAGATACAGGCGGTACAAAATCTATTCACGACTCTTGGGTATGCAAAACCTTATTCGATGCGGATAGAGATTTGCTAGCCACGGATTTGATCTACGTAAACAAAAATGGACTGTTGTGCAACATGTCGGTTAGTGTATAATTTAGTGAAAGTAATGACCAAAAATGCAGTTTACAGATATTCGTAGCGCAAAGACACTACGATCATATAATGTCCGCACCATTTCAAAAGGCTATTATGGACCACAATCGTAATTTGGGCAGAGGTATATCCATTTAGTGCGCACGTTGGGAGGTAGGATGACTCAAAAATTTTATCGATCGATGTCCAAAAAGTTGTGATCAAACAAAGACTGATAATTTGCATCCAACTATTAATAGTAACCTATATCTAACATGAGGAATATTATGAATCAAATGTCTAATCAAAGCGTAAAGAACAAGTAATCAAAGCTAACTATACTTTAAGGTCGGACGTAATTGCGTAGGCTGCAACAAAGTTGCACGTCTATTGTTTTAACATATGATTACATCTTTAGAAGCGCATATATTGAGAGTGACAGAAACAGAAGGAATTTTGAGAAGTGTTGATGAATCTTATAATTAGACTATGTAAACATCATATGCATATGTGAACTAAGTAGTAAAAAGGTTTTTATGTGTGAGTAGATGTTTTAAAGGAAAATGTTCTATAACCTTTGACAGATAGTGATGCAAATTTTTTATTTATAGACAAGTGGGTGGCAGTGGGACGCGTATTGACGCCTAACGAGCGTGAGGACTATGACACTGGATGTGCCTTAAAAAGACTTATACTTGCCAAATTGCGTCAAGAACGTGTCAGTAATCCCAAGTTACACATCCCTTTTATCATAGTCGACAAACGTAGTCTTCGTCTGCGCATAGACAAGGAAGTAAGTTGTGTGTAGACTTAGTAAGTAATTAAAGTGATAATTCAAAGTAATAATTTAGTATGTTATGCTCGACGATGCTACAGCCCGCTATGGAATTGCAGCTGAAGCAGTGACCGAAGATCGTGCCCGTCATAATCGCGTTAATACACCAACGGACAGGAGGGCCGGAAGTAAACGACCAGGTCCCTCCTTTGAGGGGCCAGGTAATAAGCTACCCCGTAACTAGAAACTTCTTTGAGTTGAACTTGTATTCTGTGTTTGGATAAAGCTTTTTGATTGTTTTGTCCTGTACATATAATAGCATATAGCGCCTCTACATGCAATTACATGTAGATACTGGTTTGGCATTGGGAGCGGGCTATGCCTCACATCACCAGACCTAGCCAGTATTACCCATAGATGAAAATGAAGTGTCAATATAGCCTTTAAAGATAGAAAAGGAAAGAGAAAGAGAATATACCAAGAAAAGACAGAACCTATAGATGTTTTTGCGCATACTGGTTTCGGGGCTAAGAACTAGACCAGATATGCAACCTTCCTTGGTGCCCCCGTGTCGAAACACTTTCATCAGTAGTTCCCAAGGAAGTGTCCAAAACATAACTTATGTGAAGGCATAAGAGATATGATGAAACGTAGTAAAGAGATATTGAAGCAAACATGTCTTACTGTTATCAGATGTACTTTCGAAGATTCATTCTATTTGAATAAATTATTTCCCGCCATTATAATCTTAGTTGGTAATGGGCCACGCATTCCGCACCTCATGCACAAGAGGCAAATGCACACTAGTACTAAATCCATATTTACGTAAAATAAAAGGTCTATTTTGAAAGATAAGATATAATGCTCTAATAAAATTATTTCTTTCCCAACTATTTTTTGCTGAAGTCATTCCTATTTCAAAAATTCTGTTTTTGAAATCCAGAAAATCAGAGCAGTTTCTATAGATTCTAACTATTTCGGATGCAAGTGTATTGAATATGATAGATCTTGGTATATTGGACGTCCAATTGGATATCTACTAACGTTGAAGTTATAATTATCGGTTTTATTATACATAGAAAACTTAATGCTACTTTCTCTAAGGGAAATAGTAAGATCCAGAAAATTCGTTTGTAAGTCTTTGCAAGCTGTTGGTTCGATTTCTAAAGAAGGATGATATATTTCTTTGAGTTTATTCGTAAACAAAGATACGTCGTAGGACATATGTAGTATGTCATCAATGTACCTAAATGTGTATTTATATACGAATATGTTACTGTTTCTACCCGTCATTTGTTTTCTGATAAAAGAATATTCCATGTATGCTAAAGTAAGATCTGCTATTTGTGGACTACAGGACGCCCCTTGTGGTATTCCCCTAACTTGCTTGTACACCTTTCCTGCAAAATATACATAGCTATATTCCAATAATACATCTAACATGTATAATATGTCCTCTACTTGGTAATATTACCTTTACCTTTCGTTTCATTGGAGTATTCAACTTTGCCGTCGTAAAGCTTGACGAACTTATATCCTTTCATAAATAATAGAATAAGTTTTTTGAGGCTGGTCCTTACGACATTATGAGGTAGATTAGTGAATAGACTCGAAAAATCCGCCGAATAGATTTCCAAATGACTAGTGTTACTAGTAAGTTCCTGTATGACTTGTCTACTGTTATCAATCGCCCAAAAGTGTTTAACGTTGGTTCTTAGCTTAATGACATTACAGTAGTTACGAAAATGTTTACGAAAGTGAGATAGTATTATCTGTAGGATATTTGTCAATGGTTTCAAAAACTTCTTTTCGCTCCAGTTATAAATCTGAACTTGATAGCATCTTTATGCATTTTTTTCATGTTTTCTGGATGGGAATCTAATGCAACACGGATGACGAACTTGGTTTTGAAACCCATTGTAGCCGAATTTCTGTTTTCATTTTCCGCAAGTGTGTTCAACACTCCACCATGAGATCTACACGTGCCTGCAGTCAAATCTCCGTAATTTCAATCATAAAACTCACAAATTATTCTAATCATGGTATAATGTAGCTGAAAGATTGTTATATCATACAGCACATTTTCTAGGCGATAGGATTTATTTTCATGAAGAATTGGGGCAAAATTGATGATGACTGCCTGCGTGCCTGCAGTGGTAATCAGCAGTTTGGAGGCTTCCGTTATCAAGGAAAGACGCTACCACGAAATTCGAATGCTGTGATGTATTTGCTACTTTTTGAATAATGTGTACACCAAATTTTATATCCCTACGTTGTTCCGTTCTGTTTTCATCACAAAAAATACTAGGCTACAAGACTTTTGGGACACCCTTTATTAGAAGCAGTTCGCGCCCTCAAGACAGGGTCCCCAGGAATCGGTGGTTTTTAAGGGTTCTGGACACTTTGAGCTCCATAAGTGCAATCAGAGCCACGGAAAGGCCACGGAATGGCAAAAACATGGGAGGCGAAATCTTGGATGGACGCTGTCTTCAATGGTTTCTTGTAAGTGATGCAGTTTAGAAGAGCGAGAAGTGGTAAAGGCCACCTACGCTGGTTTAAGATAATGCAGGATTGTGAATTTGGAGACCACATTACTAAAAACAAATATGACATGTGACCGTGAACAAAAAGATAAAAAAGGAAGGGGCAAAGGGCGGTCCAGCCAGGTACAGCAACAAGTGCAAGTTTTAAGTAGCTGTAAATGAGCCCGTAAGGCTGTGAACATTTCCTTACCTTTACGACCGTGCATCAAAATAAATTTGCGCAAATGTTTCTGAGTATCCTGCTCTTTCAAGCCGCAGCACTGACACTGACAAAATACATGAAACCTTGAGTACATTTAAAAAAAATGAAAGACAGTCCGTTTTGAAACTTCCAACTCGATATAGGCGATACTCCACGCACATGCCATCATCTGCCATGTGTCAAGTCTTGGGGCCATATCTTCAGTGGAGTCATACATCAAAACCAGCCTGTAATAGAAAAAAAAAAAACGTAAACGATGTATAGAATCAGCAAAAACTAGGTCCATCATTGAGTTCTTACAGCGCACTCACAAGGACAATAGCTTGACGCACCGCGCTTTGACTGCAAAAGAAATATTTTCTTTCTATTTCAAAACACTCAACTCTCCTTCTGTTATCGCTTTGTTAGGACTACGCTTGCTGACAACCTTAGTATGCTAGAACATTCACTAGAAATTAAGAAACCAAAAGGATTGCATAACGGCGGTGTAAATGCACATATGCAATCGCCTGCGACGAACCCGAAAGACCGCGTTATGGACAGTGTTGCCTAGAACTACATCCTCACACAACTAAATATTCTAAAACAATTTAGTGTGTTAGTATGCCGGACCCAGGTTTATACGGTGGTTCTTTATTCGACCTCTATTTCAAAGATACCACCGTATAAACCTGGGTCCGGCATACTAACACACAAAATTACTACATCAGAATGCCCAGGTTCAGAGAAGAGAGAACATGGAACTTATTCTAAAGCAGAGCGAGCTAATAACGCAAACATCTAACCTTTTTGACGATGTGCTTTGTAAGATCTTCCATGCCGAATCAGTGCAAAGCAAAGAATGATCGATCAACTAGTAAGAATGAGATTATAGTGAGGATACAGTTTGACGATGATGACAGAGAATGTTGGAAGAAGCTATGCTACCGCAGTATTCGCACCGGGGCTGCCAACAATTTAAATGAAATGTTTGCTAGAAATTAGCCATATTGCTGTGAAAGAATGTCTGCCTTTTATACTATTAATATTCAGCTTGTAAGCGCTAAAGCGGTCTGGAAGGCTGTTGTTCAGTGAAAATGAATCTACTTCCCTAAGACTAATCGCAAGACGCGAGACTTTCTGCAAAAGGGTATTTGTGTCTAAATTATGTACGAGATTAAAGCACCGCTCTAATGAGTTGAAACGGTGTTTATATCGCCTAGTGTGCAATTATTTTAGCAGAGGATCGTATTGACGTGCAGACATCCTTCAGCTCCTTCTGTCCTAGCAATTGACCTCGCAAAAACTTTTCGCCGACGCAACAGCAGAATTTTACTTTTTGCTTCCCGGAGTGGCTTCATACAGGCTTTGCCTTTTGAGCAGCGTGCAACCGTTATTTATTCGTTTTGGTGTTTGCAGTACAAGCATTTACGCATACAATTAAATCGCAAAATGTAGTCCAAGCACGTGTCAGTAGTTTCGATTTGTAGAATTGCATCCATATATTTATCAAAAGCACAAGTACAATGTTGTGCAAGAACAGTTTCTATCTGTTGGCGGGGTCATGTTCAAAAAATTTAGTACAACGCAAGCGTCAGGAAAATAAGAATAAAAAACAAATTTGTATACGAAGTCTATTTAATCATCCTTATTATTTCCTAGACGTTCGACAAGGCAAGAGGAGACTGTAGTCCTGGCTCTCCTAGCCCACTCTAGGCAAGTAGAACATAAACGGGTGAGTGGTGTTAAGTACGCAGCCGAGGTGTGGGCATTAGGTACCCAGCCATCAGTGGTATACACTAAGCCACCTTGGTTAGTTTAATAGCGGGTACATAACGATACACCAAACCCTAGCTGCTAGAACAGCTTACCTAGCTCGCTGAAGTGCTGGCGCTTGCGACCCACAGAAAAAAAGTCAGTTGGAGGAAACAAAAAAAATTGCGCGAATGAAAGCGTAGTTTTGCGCACGTTTTTCTATTGTTTCTTCTTTATCGATTTTCGAATCACAGAAATTCGGTGATGAAAGTTGAAAACAAGGTAAACTGTTGTGAGCACTTCACATAGTTTTGCAAAAAAATTGTGATAATCTAATCTAACCCGTAGGAGGAATTGTCAGGGGGAATTTCAAACAAGAAAACTTTGTAGAATTCCATTAAACCAAAATTTTATGATTTGGATGAAGCAAAGCGCACTTTCGGAGATGCTTATGCGTGGCAAATAAGTTGCACGGAATATTTTTTTCACATCTTGTCGTCGGCATCGTTTTGAGTGAAGTTAAGTGTCGTAACCCATTAGCGTTAATATTGCCACAGCGATTGTGAATTACATTGTCGTAGATTACTGCTATTAGTTCAGTGATTGCTGAGGCCAACAGATCTATGAGATATTACATTGATAAACACATATTTCTAATTTTGGAAGATTTAACATTCCATATAAAAAATTCATTTAGCTACTGTATTTTATCATGTCTATGTTCCCTGTAGTGCTTTTTTCTGGAGGACTTTCATATTGCAAGGTTTCATAGTCATCCTCTTTTCTTGCAGCTAGAATAGATCAATTTATTCAACCAAAGTTATGAATTTTTTTGTAAGTCACTAAGAAGCGAAAGATTACGTCAACCTATTTCATTTCATTGGCACACACTTATAAGCTGGCATAACTCTAATGTAGAATTTTCATTGATTGAAACAGAGTTAGTGCCCTTTCCATTGATTAGTGGCTAGTTCTGATTCCTGATGACAAATTCTCGTCGAAGCTCTCCTTCCAATCGGTTCCACTTCTCATTGTCAAAAATATGGCTGGAGCAGTTTTTTGAGACAAAGTAATATTTCATGCAACTTATTTGCCAGGAGCCTCCAAAAGAGCGCTTTGCTCCATCAAAATCATAAAATTTTGGTTCATTGGAATTCTATGAAGTTTTCTTTTCTGATACCTGTTGACGTTATCGATTAGATTGGCTTACAAAGCTTTACCCTGTCTTTAACTTCCATCACCGAATTTCTGAGTTTCTAAAACTGATAAAAAAAGAAGCAATGAAAATACGTTATGTACAAACTTGCGCTTTCATTCGCGCATTCTTTTAATTTCCCTCCAACTATCTTTTTTCTGTGGGTCGCAAGCGCCAGCACTTTAGAGAGCGTAAGCTGTTCTAGCAGCTAGGATTTGGTGTGTCATTAGGTACCTGCTGTAAAGCAACCAAGGGGGGTGGCTTAGTGTATACCACTAATGGCTGGGTATAACGCCCATACTCGGGTGGGTACCTAAGGCCCGCCCCACCATAAACATCTCTTCTTTAATTGCAAAACATCTATTCTTCTTTAATTGCACCTCAAACGTGAAGCATTTCATTATTTTTGAGCATACCGTAACACTCATATTTCAATAGTAGTCTAAGTTCTTATGTTTCCTTTGTTTGAATGCGATTTTCAACAAAGCTGCAGAGTGCATGAATAAAGCAACCATAACATTTAACTGATAGACAAATTGCATCTGCTGCAGTCCATAAGTAGATGGGCAGAGCACACAGCTGGCTGGACTTACAATGATGGGATACCTCTGCACACTCTTAGCTGTAAGCATTTTCTTGCTCACAAAGAGAAATTTCAGTTATTTTAGCTCGTGTTTGTTACTCGCGCACAAATCGATGGATTTATCCCGAAAGAAAGAAACTGCAACATATCCGGGAAATATCCACGTGATCCACATCTCACTCTTATAATGGAACTCATGTTCCAGGAAACGGTAAACTGTTTCTTTTTTCATGGTTTCCCGAAATGACAAATTTGGTGCAGATCTATGACTGCACTCTCGCAGATATAGCTTCTCTACTTGTCAATGATTTCGGCTATTACAAAGAATACAAAGAATGCTTTGAAAAGTCAGGCTCGAAATGGGTAAGAGATGATAAATTAGCTGCAAAAAGTTGTTATACTGACTCTTTTAGACAGTAACCAAAACTTCCTACAAGAATAAGCGTGAAAAAGATCAGCGTCAAATCTCCAAAAGACTCAGTATGAGAGGAATATCGGTAAGCGTCGCCATTTCGTTTTAGACAAGATTACTCCCAGACAGCTTTGGCTTTTTTATTATCTGGCAAATTCAAGTTATTTAGCAGTTAATGGAGCATACTTGCTATAATCTCATACAATTAACGAGCAGCTTTTTGAGAGAAAACAAAGCTAGCTTTTCGATGGAGAGGTCTTTTAACTATTCAAATTTTCTGTGAATTGTTAGCGTCTTCATAGCACACTATCATATGTAATTACGTAGTGAATTGAAAATCAATGCAATTTTCTACTAAGTGAGAATATTTTTGGATCATACAAGGCACAAGGAGAAACAACCGTTTCTGACCTCTCAAGAAAAAACGAGTTTGATTTGATGACTAATTTTCAAGCTTTTCAAGAGAGTCAGCAAATAAACAATAGAGAGAATCTTAATTTTCTTGACTTCAGTTAAAAAGCGTCAAAGCCTTTGGTTGCTACAAGTCGCACAACACACTTACCTGTGTTTTCGACACATCAGAGAACGACGTTTATGATTGTGCTTTACCATCTCGATAAAGCTTGTTAGTCTAGAGTAAAGGAAACCTCAGTACAGAAACGATTCCAGCATAAGTGAAAATGAGGGCTACAAACACTTAAAGAGAAATGAAGAATAATATTAAAGAGGAGGAAGCATTACAAATTGTAATATTGCAAGTGGACTACTGTTGTTGAAGGCATGTCGGAATTCAAGGTGCTGTAGAGGTAGAGGCTGCTGCATGACGAAGGCGCAATGGCGATATTAGTTGAGCGGACGCGAACGCGACGCGCGCGTATCCTCACCGTTGTAGATTCCGCAACTCATGCGCTCTGCGGCTAATAAAGCCGCGTTCGCGCCCGAAGATATTGCGCCTTCGTCATGCAGCAGCCTATACATCTCAAGCTGTTAACCCTTGCGGGTTCAAAGAGAGGCGTTTTTTGAGGTACGAAGGTTTGCGAGTAAAGTCGAAGGGCTTTGAATGTTGATAATTCCACAACTTCGCTGCTTTCTTCTCTAGTTCAATTTCTTTTCTAGAGTTTCATCAACTAGTACACCATCCCTGTTTTAATTATTATTTCAATTCTATTTACAAACACACTTATGGTGCACCATGAAAAAAGAATAAAAAAGTAAACTCAGGCACGATACTAGCCGGTCTTATACCCAGGGAGAATGATAGATCTAACAGAAGAAACCAAAGCGCTTAAGACTCGCTGCGTAGGATACAAGGTCCAGACAAATCTGGACACATGGAGATTGCATCTGGCAACCGATTTTGGGGACCTAACTAGCAAGGGAAAGGTCAGAAGTCGCGGTGGTCTTTTGATATGAGATAGGTACCATCTGAAGCAGCTTAGCACGCTGATTTCAAAGCAGCCTTCCTTAGCTGCAAACGATCTGGATCGGGAGTTATGTGCATTTTAATCACCAAACTTTACATTGTTTGGAGGTACTCTGTGATCATGGAAATTATTCGAAGCTTATCAAGCACCACAGCAAAACATCAAAGAAGGAATAGAATTACGTTAAGCACTGAAACTGTTTCATTTAGGTGTAAGCCCAAGATAAATGAATTTGGGAATTTTGACTGCACTGCGCGTTGTGAATTTCCTGCGAATTGAATTGTTTTATTCTCGAAAATTCGTTTTGCAGCTAAGAAAAACCGTTTTGAAATCAGTGTCTCAAGCTTCTTCAAATGTGTTGCCTATCTCATGTAAAAGGCTCCTGCGACTTCTGATACTTGACTTGTAAGACGCTGCTCAAGCGGCAGCGCAGATGGTGCACCCTCGGTTAAGATATCCGTACCCAACCATACCCCGTCACCTACTTGGTGGACGACTTCCATCGGGTTACATGCCATGGCATCAGACCCCCGTCTTTGTGATGATTCCTGCGTAAAACCATGCAAGCCGATGCAAATCGTCAGCCAATACCGATATTGGAGACAAGTGTTTGGACGCTGAAAGAAGAGAACGACGTGTAAAGTATTTTTAATACCGAAACCTCGGCAGTCATGACAACATTCTGATGATGCAAAGTTCGTTGCACATCGTCGTCTTCCCCTTCATGAACTGGAGGTACCAACCGTAACGACCACAGCTCTCGGAGACTGACCTCGGAGAGAAACGGACAAAAACTTTACTGACTTACTAGATGGGATGCAGTGCTTTTTTTAAATCACCAAACTCCCTAATCCTAGTCGCGCGACATAGCATGAATGATTTCTCAATTGTTTCGAAACACCTTATACTAGGTTGTTCCGAAAGTTTTGTCCGATTTCTAGTTGCCTTGTTTAACGCAGCCAGTTTCTTAGAGTTTTGTACTTGTTGCAGAGATATGGATATCATCTGAAACTACTTTACTTGCTCTTTCTAATGCTCACTAGTGCTTGAACAAAATATCTTCTTTTGATAAAATTCCAAGCCTCGAAGCCAAACTATCGAAATGCACTCATGCTCAAGAAAAAGTTTCTGTGAGCAGAATTCCAGCAGGAAACGTAAAATTGAAAATATTATATTTTATAATGGGTCAGGGTGTAATAGGCTAACATATGCACGCCTTACCTCCAACAAAGCGAACATTTTATTTTTTTCAACTTTTTCTCAAAGGTGGAAGACAAACTCAATAATTCAAAAAGTAACAACAATCTACGTATAGCGAACGGGGGCGCACTTAATAATCCATACGATAAAGTAAAGCGAGAGCAAGCGGGGACCATCGATAAGTTAGCTTTATTCGTTTGCAGCAGCAAGAAAAAGTCAAATATTAGAAAGTCGACTTACTTGCGCGCGCGGAGGAGGGCTCATATAACGCGTTTTTTGATTTCCTCGTAAAAATTTCCGTGCAGCAAATAACTCGAATTTTCTTTAACCATGAAAGGTTCTCTGAAGTACATGCTACTCAATGATGGCAGTCAAATATGTCCGCGTATCCTTATATGCAAGCATTTGCAGGTCAAAGTGGATTGTTTTGAAGAAAACTCTGCAAAAGTCTTTAAATTTTCTGTTCTCTCTCGCTTGCTCTCTTCAAATGGTATACAGTGCATTGATAGATGGTACCTCGCTTAATCAAATAAAATTTAATCTGTGCAAAAATGTTGATTTTGAAGAGAGTTAAAACCATTTTAATCAGAAAATCTACAAATCGGATAGAACTTTCGGAACAAGCTAACATCACCACGGACGCGTTTCGTGTGGACCTTTGCAACTGATTAGCACATATATACATCCAAACACCCTCTGAAAAGCTAGCAGCCACTCAAATTCCGTCCAGAGCTGAACCTGCACTGCTCACAATGTAAGAATATCCCCGATATATCTATTCCAAAACAAATACATGTGAACACGAGCTGATTGCTGGTGAATTGATTGCAACATTTAGACACAGAGTAGTTGCGCCGATATCTCTTTCTCTGTTGGCATCTCAATTCATCTAGTTTCTATGAAACTTATATGAACAACACTCAAGTATTCATGAAGTAAGTGATACATAGATTCTGTAGCTGAAGCTCTGCAACCACATCTTCTGCGCCGGACACGCATTGCTTCCAATGCTTTGCTCAATATATTAGGTTGAAACGAGAGTTCGTTTGCCAACCTAGTATCTTTTGATAAAAGCAAGCTTCGGAGATTATGGCCGGAGAAGAAATTTACTCATTTTTTGAGTTTACTGTGTTGGTCGTAAAAAGTGAAACTTCCAATAACAATCAGTCGGTAATGTAGGCATCACTGCCTGCCAGTGGCGTACCGAGGGGGGGGGCGGGGGGGGGGGGCGCGCCCCCCCCCCCCGAGAACGGGTCGCGAAATTTTTGAAAGTTACTTACATGCATTATAAAAATGTGCAAATGACTTGTTTATTTTTGTAAACAATTAAAATAATTTTTTAAATTTTTTAAAAATTCAAATTAGCCTTATAAAAAATTTTTTTTTCGGGGGCGTGGCTGACGCCACGCCCCCTTTTTCCAGATTTTAGGGGTTGGGGGCCCGCAGAATTGTTGAGAAGCCCCCCTAGAAAGAGCTGGTGTTGAAACTTATAATACAGATTACTCTGATTTTTATTGCAAGTGATTTTTCATAGCCAGCCACAAGAAATTCCTTCCCGGCTTTGATCTGCGGAGCTTGCTTTTGTCAAAACATACTTTAGATAATAAAAAGAACATGATTCCATCTTGGATTTGAATATGTGCAAATTGGTAGAGAGAGAAGCAGGTTACCAATCTTTGAAAATGGTGTAGACGTATAGACGAACTTTTGGTTTAACCCAATCAGGTTGAAACAAAAGTTTTGGCGTAACTCAAACAAAAATCAATGACTTTCAAACACTAAACCTAAATTTATATTTTGCTATCTTAAGAAGGATATGAGGTTTGGCTTTATGATAGATGGTCAATACTACAGTGCTGGACATAATAATAAGACACTCTAGAAATCGTCGTAATTTTCGTTCTTGTCAGTGAATCTGTCTGAAACTTCGCTGTAGTGCTGTAGTGCGCATGTAAGCCTTCCATAACTCCACAGAACAGCTTCCAATCCCGATTTCCGTTGATTCCGAACGGAGAAAAATGGAAAAATTCGAAAACCTGTTTTGCAAGCTGGACATAATTATAAGGACACCTTTCCTTTTTAAACATTTTCGCATTCCTTGACTCCCAAATTTTTTTGTAGAGTTACATCCCAGAATATGAAACTTTTGCAGCACCTAGGACCTGTCATGCTACTCAGGGAAAGATGATCCTTGCATTTTTTGTTTCCAAAGGCATCAGAAGTCAAACTGCGTCAACAAACAGCTAGTTTGAGGAGTTTTCAAGCCCGCATTCATTTCAAATGGAATACACTTAGCCTTCTTGATAGATAAGGTGAAGAGCGCTTTCGTACGCGTAATCGCTGACATTGACAATCAGACTCCAACCCCATCATAAAATTGTCACGCTTTTACACCACAAAACTCACTTTCCAATGTTCGTGAAGTGATGGACTCAATTTATTACATTGTCTACATCTTTTGCAACAGCTTTTAAATTTTTTTTAG